TATATTATATTATTATATATACATGAAGGAAGATTTCTTAGGTGGCGATTTTGAGCTTGGAAATTATCTTGCTATCTTTAATAAAATCATCCTAATTACACTTTGCCATCTAATTATTTGGACTAAAAATATCCTTATGTCGAACGTACATATTGCTATAGGTTTGGGTCTGATTTATTGTGGCCCATCAATTTTACAAGTTTTTGTTTTTAGTTTTTTGTTTTATTAGCCCATTTGTTTATGTCCTAATTTTGTTTATTCAAATTTTTTTTTTTTGCCGTCAAGTTTCATTTCATTAAAGCCCAAATGGGCTGAGAGTGATTACAATGACAGGGCCCATTAAGTAATACAAACACAAATTACATCAAATATATCTTTAAGTGATACGTGTTTGTTAACCTAAAAAGAGACCCACGTGGCATCTTCTTGGAGACTTCAACCATGCACTGCCAAAAGCACCGCCGCATCACCGGAATCCAGCCACCGTAAACGGAAAACAAATAAAGAATGGTTTCAGCGTTACTATAAATATAACAACCGACGACCTGGAGACTAAGTCAAATGTCATTATTTATAAATGTTTAACAAAAGATGGAAAAATTTGGAAGAGGATTTCTGAGAAAGATATATGGAAAGAGAGAGGTAAACAAGAATCAAAAGCAACACTTAATAGAAGAAGACAACAATAAGATACTCTTTTAAAAGTATCTTTAGATAATTCAATACTCGGAATGAGAGTTCCGACCCCAATCTCCTTAGGAATTTTATTCCTTTTTTTTTCTCATCCATTCCAAAAAAATTTGTCAGAGACCATGGTCTTGAGACGTTAGTCTCTAACACAACCCACACTAAAGAGTCTTTAGAAAGAAAACCAGTTATCATCCTTCCGAAAACTTTTATAGCGATATTACTTATATAGGATCCAACACCTTTCGTCTCTCATCCCCTAAGAGGACAAAACTCGAAACTCTACAACTATTCTCAAATGACACTCTAAAATTTTATACAAGACATCTACAATTTTGTACAGAATATCAAAAATCAAATCTGAAATACTAGCGCTACGGAGGGAAAAGACCAGGCGCTCCACCTAAAAAAAATACAACAATTTACTTTTTTAATACTTTTTTATAATATGTGAGTTTTGGTTGGTTTAAATATAACATCAATCAATGATATTATTATAATTTTTTTTGTTATTCAATGCATAGAATCTATTGTTAATATATTAATTTCCGCGCAAAACGCGGATACGTACCTAGTAGGCTAGTATAAAGTCTATAGACCATAAGGTTTCTAAACCATAATAAACATGTCTATAGACTATATAGGTCCGGCCCAATATTATCGTATTGGAAAAACTATAAGTGAAAAATTTTACTGATACATCTAAAATTCTTAAATTATATAATTGGTTATTTTTTATTTTATAAACCGCGAGAGTTCCGAACCTTTGGCTTATAATTTTTTCGGTATCCGGAGCCACTCTTTAGATATTCCGATTTAAAGAATAACTCTCCGTACTAAAAGGATTTGAATCCGGAGTACAAGGGAACCAACCCCTTTGTGTTACCACTAAACTACCACATCTTTGGTAATATAATTGGTTATTGGAATCTCTTTGTCCATAAAATTTTTAATATGTAAATTTTGATTTTCATAATATTTAAATTATAAAAATCTTAAATATAGAAATTATTCATCGTAATCTGATATATAAAAATAAAAATTCTTAATACAGATAGAGTATTATTTGAACTGTTTACTGTCATAAACGACTGTGATAGAAAATTCTATTGTTGCAAAAATACCAAAAAAAACATTTCTCAATGATAGAAATAAGTGTAAATGATAATAAACAAAAAAAAAAATACAGTGAAAATCAAACTAAGACCATCCACATTGGAAACATTTTACCAATGTTTCACAATATAAAAATATTAAAAACACACTCTCTCTTCCTTTTACTCAACTTTATACCTTCTTTTTCATTCTTTTACTCAATTTTATACCTTCTTTTTCATCCTTTTACTCAACTTTTATTAATTTTATATTTAAACACACCCCAATTCTCTCTCTCTTATGTCTTCCCCAAGACACAATCTCTCCAAAAATACCCACTATCTATTCTCTTTACTCAAATTTTATTAATTTTATATTTCAATACATCACACTATTTCAACAAAAAACACTCTTTTTTTTCCTTTTACTCAAATTTTAATAATTTTATATTTAAAGACATCCATATTTTATTACCAATGTGGATGCTCTAATAAAACAGTTATGTACAAGTATTTATTTTTATCGCATTATCCTGAAAAATATCACTACTACGATTGCTCCACATAGCGTCTCTTATCAGTCACTATAAATCACTCTTTTTTTTCTTTCCCATCACTTTTCTCGAGAAAAACAACTACAGAAAGAAAAATCTCCCCAGATTTCGAAACCCTAGCTCTACTCAATCTCTGAAAAAATGGCGAATATTCCGATGGATATCATCACCGATTTATTCCTCCGTCTACCAGCAACAACTCTCGTTCGATTTCGCGTACTCTCAAAGCCTTACTTCTCTTTAATCGACAGTCCCGATTTCATCGCATCTCATCTCAATCACACACTCCAAACCGGAGATCACATCAGGATCTTACTCCGAGGTCCTCGTCTTCTCTGTACAGTAGATCTCGATTCACCGGATAAAGTCTCCGACGTCGAGCATCCACTAAAAGCTGGTGGTCTAACCGAAGTTTTCGGCTCTTGCAACGGTTTAATCGGATTATCGAATTCTCCGACCGATATAGCGATATTCAATCCGTCCACACGGCAAATCCATCGCTTACCGGCGGAGATTGTTGATTTCCNTGAAGGCTCGACGACTCGTGGTTATGTGTTTTATGGATTAGGATATGATTCTGTGAATAAAGATTACAAAGTTGTGAGAATGGTTCAGTGTAAAGGAGGTAAAGCTGATGAATTGCTTTTTGGTTTCCCTTATGAGATCAAAGTTTTCAGCTTGAAGAAGAATTCATGGAAGAGAATCAAACGTGTTATTCCCGCGATTCAATTACTGTTCTACTTCTATTACCATTTGTTGTATCGTCGTGGATACGGTGTTTTAGCTTGCAATAGTCTTCATTGGGTTTTACCTCGAAGGCCTGGACTTATCGCCTTTAACACGATAATAAGATTTGATCTTGCGACTGAAGAGTTTGGAATCATCGATTTCCCGGATAATCTTGCTCATGAGAATATCGATATAGGTGTGTTAGATGGTTGCCTTTGTTTGATGTGTAACCATGAGTTTAGCTATGTTGATGTTTGGATTATGAGGGCATATAACGTTGAAGATTCTTGGAGTAAGTTGTATAGGGTACCGAAACCAAAGAGCGTAGAATCGTTTGATTTTATGAGGCCTTTGCTTTATTCCAAGGAGAGGGACAAGATTTTGCTGGAGATAAACAATGCGAAGCTCGTGTGGTTTGATTTGGAGAGTAAGAGGTTTAGAAAGATTAGGATAAAGGACTGTGATAGCTCGTATAGTGCAGAACTCCTTGTGAGTAGCCTTGTTTTGGGATGTAAAGGAGATCCTACTGAAGCAGAGCGCCGAAAAGAACGCAGAGCTCGAGAAGATAAAATGTTGGAACAGAGTAGTAAGAGGTGGTTAATGTTAATCTTTACTCTTTCGATTTCCTGATAAAATTTTAGTTATGGATACGATAAGCAAATCTGAGTTATAGGTGTATCGTCGTTCTTCGTTACGTTAAGGTTTTGCAAGTGGTAAATGTATGAATATGCTCAAACATGTTATTGTTACATCTCAGGGATGATTTTCTATCCAAGGGATTCAAGCTGGTGTTATGAGCAAAACAGAGGAATTTAGAGCCCAATCCCATTTCAAGGTAAGTGTAATGATTAGAGTCTCATCTTCTTTCGTTTTCGATTATGTGAGATTTCTAATCTTCACATAGATGCATTATTGGAAGTCTTTAGCAGGTAAAAGTTGAGTCACCAACATACTGTATGTTGACTTTTCACAATTTAGGAGCTTATCTAAAGTCTGAATATTTCAAGTGTTTTGACGTTTGAAATTTTCTCAGGGAAATTAGTAGATGCAAATCTTGATTTGGGTTTGATTTTCGCGTGCAGGCGAAGGCAGAAAGGAAAGCAAACATCATCAAATTTCCACTGGAAGTCTTAGTATTAACTGGCTTAACCTTGTACATATATGTTCTAAGATAAGATATGTATGTGTTCTTCTATATCTAATTTGAGTGAATATAACCTACATTTGTAAACTCTTTCGCGTCTTGTATGTTGCAATATGCGATGTTGTAATCTGATATCGACTTAAAAAATCGCAATACGATCCAAATTCCAAATAGCCAAACGGTGAATTTTATGAAGAGTAAGTCACAGTTAGTGTGATTCAGAGAAGTAAATGAATCATTGGGTATTCGTAATACTACAGATTAAACCAAATCATACAGAATTTAAATCTTCTAGAGATGTTATGACAACAATGGAGGATAATGAAACACATAAGAATCTACCTGGAGATAAGAAGCAATATCTTGATGCCATTTTAGTATCCGACTGGAGAAAAATCATGTCCTCTAGTCTCTACTGGACGAGTTTTCTCAAAACGGATTCTGCACGGTGCTCGAATCCAGGTAAAACCCATTCATGTTGAAGAATGTCGAGACCATCCTTCTCAGCACTCAAGCTCTGAGGCCAATTTGCAAATGCGGAGATAGAAAATCAGGTTTGGACCAAGATCAGAATGAAAAATGTTATAACATTTAGGATTCAAGAAATCTAATAACATTTAGGAGCCAAAAAATTTATGAATCGATGCGGGAAACAAAAAAAAAAAAAATTACCTTTGATGCATCAAAACCAAATCCACCCATTTGCATCATTCGTTGGGTATCATCAATTGCTGCATAAGAAACCCAACACTTGCAATGACTAAAAAGGATTCACCAAGAAAATGAAACAGCTCAAAGTCTAAGCTTTTGAGGAAAATGGTTCGAATTAGTAAGTATGTGAAAACTAACCATTTTCATCTCCAAGAATAAGACTGAATAGGCCTCTTAATCCAAACAAGTTTAAGAAGTACCTGAGACATGGAAGAACAGCTCATGAAACAAGAGATGTAAACAAAACCCGCACAAAACTGACATGTGCCATTCTCTATGTAACTAGGTACATACCATGAACGGCTGCTCACATAGCTAACATCGACAGTGCTCAAGTCGATCCCGTTCTGTAACATTGACCTGAACCTCTGAGTCAGCGGAAATGGTATTTTTGCTGTAACATAAAATTACGAAGTTTCAGATGCAACAGAACTGTAGAGACTTTAGAGTACAGGAGTTGACAAACACAAACACAAACACAAGATAATAGTATTTCAAAAGAAACAAGAAAGGCAAACAATGTGATCCATTTTTATGCGCCTGTGAAGCTAGAAAGAGGATAATATGGCAAATAATATTATTTGAAGGGAAACAAACCTGCAACAAACCCAGAGAAGAAGAAGTTGACCCATGCAAAAGTGAGCGTCTGCCAGATAGTAGAATCCATCAGCTTCCTAAATTTACCGATAACATGAAGAGAGATGAGTTCAAATTTACTTTACCTGAGGTATAATCATTGACAGATTTTTCTTCATCATATCCATGGCCATGTTAGGATCAGAAAACATCTGGGCCTGTGGGTTTTGAGCTGCTTGGTCTTTGGGAACATGTAACAGTCCATTTTCCTGCAACAAGCAACACTTACAATGAGACATAAACTGTATACTACATAGAAACCGTAGAGCCGGTAACCATTCTAGTATACTGCAATCTTGCTCTAAGCAAAACAAGGAGACAATATACAGACAATATACGAATGAAACATTAAGCTTAAAGTTTTTAACTTGCCAATCTGCAAATCAACTCTTGGTAACTAGTAAAGAACAACAATTTCTAGATATGAGAACACACAAGACAACTTAATCTACACAATCATTCACATGATTGACCAATTCCAGAAGCAACAAAAAAAACCTTTTGTGCATTTGCATGTCATCAAATCGTCATAACTAGCAAAAACCTCAACTGTTCTTGAAGAACTAAACTAGATTTGACAAACACAAGTTTTCAGATAGTACCAAAGAACATATAAGATTAGCTCTTAGCTCATGAAGTTACAAACTTTCCAAATAAGAAACTTAAAGAGGGCAAATCACATAAAAGCATCATACCTCGTTGCTGAAGTAGAATCTCCGAGATCGGAAAGATTTAGGCGGGATAAAATTGGCTCCGGCTTTCAGATTCCGAGCCCTAATAACAATTTGTCTGGAATATACCGAACACATCAAATCCAATCGGTTAATTCTGAAAAATATAATCTAGAGGTAAGATGAGAATCGGAAGAAACATAAGCAGACTCACCCTTCTTTGACCATCTTCGCATCGGGAGTTGGAGATGATCGCATGAGCTTAGAGACGAAGTACCGAAGAACACCAATGAGAACCATCACGACGGAGAGAGGGATCAAAACCCAATCTCTAATCGCCGTATCGAGAACCAAATCTTCCGCCATTGATCTGCTTCCTTTTTTCTCACTTCTGAGA